CTGAGTCTGCCAGGCAGGAGCTGGAGACAAAGAAGGGTGATGGAGACAGTGCCATCACCAGCACGAGACTGAGATTCCCAGCACCTGGACCACAGCCAGCGCTGGGAGGAGTTCTGTGCCCTGCACAAAACAGAGATTAGCTAGCAGCAGGGAATGGACAAGTGCTCAAAAAGTTCATGAGCACTTTGCTTTGCTGTTTAAGGGGAGGAAATGCAGATTGGTATTTATTTTTAGGTTTAATAATGTCTTCTTTATACTTTTTCCAATTTTCCCTGCTGGCAGCTGGGTGGCCAGCATGCCCCCATTGCACAAAGGGCCATTCACCACCAGTCCCAAAGCACTGTGCCCCAAACAGGCGTCACAGAGCAGCAACAAGGAGCAATATGCATCTTTCAGTTTAAGGGAGAATCATATAATCACTGAAACTGGAAAAGATCTCTAAGATCCCCAAGCTCAAGCCCAACCCACCCCACCATTCACTCAGTGCCACATCTCCACAGCTCTGGTGCACCTCCAGCACTGATGATTCCCCCACCTCCTGGGCAGCTGTGCTAACAAAAAAGGCCACTTTTTCAGAGAAGAAATAGTTCCTAATGGTCAACCTGAACCTCCCCTGGCACAACTTCAGGCCATTACCTCTCATCCTAGAAAAAAAATAATAATGAAGAAAAAAAAAAAAAAAAAAGTCAGTACTAGTTGATGGTTTCCCAGTGTTGGGTACTGGGGGACTGAGGCACACATGGGCTCCAAATCTGGGAGCTCAGGGATGGCGTTTTGCCCTGAAAGGTCTGGGAGGATTGAGAATGTCTGGGTGGGAACTGCTGGGCTTCCAGATGTCCTCACAGCTGCAGCACAGGCAGTAACAAAATTCTGCTGGGGTCAGATGGAAATGAAGCAGCTCTGCTTAAATACAAGCGAGCAACAACAAAGAACTGATATTTCTGAGAATTTCAAGGAACAAGGAAAGAACTGATGCAAACTCCAAAATATCTACAGGACAAACTTTGGAGGAGGATAAAATAGAGTGATGCTGAACAAAGAACTGGTGTCCAGCAGGCAGCTGTGGCTTTGTGATGGGCAGAGCTCACAGCTCAGCTGACCACCAAGTAACCTTCTCCAGAGCATCTCTGGAAGGATGAGAACTAAAAATAGGATAGGACAGGGTCAGGTAGGGTAGATAATGAAGTAAAACCATGGGAAATGGATCCAGCCCCAAACACAAGGCGATGTGTGGCTGCACCAGAAAGGCAACACGGCTCCCATCCTCACATGCCCTTATCAGTGCATCATGGCGAGGGCAGCGTCATCCCCTGCCAGCCCTGCAGCCCATTCAGAGCTTTGTCCCACACAGCACTGCCCAGGCCAGATGTACTTCAGACACAACAAGCAAAGCAACACAGATGTTGGCAACCTCACTGGCGTGGGAGTCCAGTTCTCTTTTTCCATCCCCTGTAGACAAAAGAGGAAACCAGGGCTGGCTTGCAGCCCTACACGTGAGCACAGAGTGTGCACCAGGACCCTTGATGATCACAGCTCATGTGAGTACCAGGACATCCCCACAAGCATCTCTGCAAATAGTTCATTTTTAAGGCAGTTGAGCTTGATTTAGTGCACAGGTGAAAGCCAAACAGAACATTTTTCTCTTGCACTGGTGTTCCTTAACTCCACTCAGCATCTCAACCCCTTCGGAGACTCTAGGCTGAAAATACTCTGAAGTCCTTCAGCAGCAGATGGATAAAGTATCAGGCAGAGGACTATGTGTGGCTGTGGCAGCAGCCAAACCGAAGAAAATATTTACTTCAAAGAAGACAGAAGGATCGCTTGTCCAGCTGGAAAAAGCAGGAAGTGCTTTCTAAATAGAGAGGAGAGAGGGAGATGGTTGTGTAAGGCATGATGTTTTAATTAAATCATACTTGAATGATAGCAGAAGTTCATGAACTTATGTTCTAGGCAAAATGGAATCAGCCGTTTGTCACTGTTCATCTTTGTCCTGGCAAAGACACCAGGAATAGATGGGCAAAATAGGAGATGGGCTGTTGGGCACACACATGTGGCAGGTACAGGGCTGAGTCCTGCTGACCCTGCACTATTCTGAATGAAGTCTGGCTATTTGAAAATATCAGCAGTCACCCACCAGCACACAGTGCTTCCCTGGACAAGGCTGGGGTCAGGTGAGGGCAGCTGATGGATTTCAGTGGGAAGTGAAGGCTCATCCATCCTTGGGTTTGGGATAAGCTGGAGCAACCCTTTCACTTGATTGGGTTCACCATCCCTGGAGGTGTTCCAGGAATGTGTAGATGTGGTACAAAGGGACATGGTTTATCTTGAAATATTGGTAGTAGGGAAACAGTTGGACTAGACAATCTTAGGTCTTTCTCTACCTTAGCGGTTCCATGAACTCCTGGCCATGAAATCCTTGGGTTTGTCCAAAGAATCATTACCACCACCCAGCACCTCATCCCTCCCAGGAACCTGGATCCAGCTGTAACAATGTGTATGCCCACAAACAAGAAGCCAGGGGCCTCCAAACCCACCAGGAGAGCCTGAGGTCACGTCACCATCCAGCTGTGGTCAGGGTGATAATTCTGCCTGCTGCCACCTGCCCTGGGATCCCAGCTGCCACCCATCGGCCTGGACACATGGAAACACTCAATAACAGCAACCCAGCAGTCAGATCACCATCAGGGTGATCAGGATTTGAGTCATAAATGACCCTTTTTTTCATCTTTCTTCAGCTGCTTAAGCCCCTCATAAACAGATGAGCTGAGAGGTGAGGTCTGCAATGGGTTCTGGAAACATCCTCTTGTGCTCCCTTTGTATTTATTACAAAATGGTTTTTAAACTAAAAGAAAGGGCTGTATGGCACAAGGAGGACCCAAGGCAGAGCTCTGTTGTACAGATTCACCTGGCACAGCCCAGGCCATGCCCCACTGCACTGCTGCTGCACCAGCACAATTCCTCCAGCCCCACACTGTGAGAAATTCATTGCATGTTCTAAATGCAAATCCTCTGAAGGGCTTTCAGGATGCTAAGTAGGAATTCAGAAGGCACAACAAAAAGAACGAAGAATAGAGCTTTTGTTTTTGCCACTGTGCTTTTCCCTGAGGGCAGGAGAGAAGCCTCTCAACAGCACTTTGAAGAGCTGCTCTACCACCTGCAGTCCCTCCATATTTCAAATCAGGATCTGTCACTGCCAGTCACAAGAGATTGAAAAGGAGGAAATGGGCTCCCATGAGCTCACACACCATCTTCTTCATCACAGCCTGCAGCCACAGGGATGCTGAGAAAGCTACAAGCATAGCTGGCTTTAAAGAGTGTCTGAGGAAAAACTGGTTATGGAAAAGGCACCCATGGGAGTTGCTAAAGGTGGAGGAGTCCCGAGCCCCAGTGCTAGGACACAGCAGCCTGCACTGTCCTTGGGATCCTGCACTGAAAGGGCCCTATTGAGGGGACAGAGGTTGGATGTTGGTCTCCTGGGACCTACGAAGCTGCTGCTGAGTGAATGTTTTGGTAATGAAAACAGAAAGGGAAAACTGGGAGAGAAAGAACTCTGTTTCTGGGAAATCACCTTTTATTCTGGTTACAAACTGGGCACGAGATAAGTGGTATAGCATGTTGGTTGCCAACAATATCAGTGCCTTTCTAAATCATCCATTCAAGTGAAATATGGATGATAATTTACTCAAAATACAACATTTGCAGCAGGAGCTCCATAGCCAATGTTTTGTAGAAAACAACTCTCTGTTCTGGTCTCCAGATGCCTGATCCCCTGACTCTACCCTCTCTGTTCTGCCTTTCCTAGAAAGGGAATGCTGCCAGTGGTTAGAAAAGAACACTGCATCACTTCCAGCTGCATCACCTCAGATGCAGGTGCTTGAGAAGTGCTCCAAGAGGTGAAATTGGGCCAAACACAGGGAAATATGGGCTGCTTTGGGAACCAGCAGCACCAGACCCACAGGTGGGAGGCTCAGAAGCCACATGCTCAGCCACCAGCCTGCTCCTAGGGGAAAATCCCTGCAGCACGTGGTGATGGGATGGGTTGGTAGAAGTTATAACCAGGATGATGGGCAGCAAGTGAGAGCAGCAGTTGAGGGGGAGAGGAAAATAATCAGGGGTCAGTTGGGACTGTGCTCAGCTGGGAAAGGCCATGGCAACCCATAGCACAGACCGTCCCAACAGCTGCATGCCTTCAAAGCACTTGGAAACACTCATTTTTTCCCCTTCTCTCGATATTAAATGTGGGTTTTGTTGCCTTTTTTTTTTTCCTCCTCTCCACTCCCGTCTACAAAGATCTCGCACAATGAGCTTCCGAGAAAGAAGACGCTAGCCCTTTTTTCTCCTTCCTGGAACTACCCCCAATGACTCACACCGCTCCCGTTTCGGGATGCCGCATCGCCCCGTACCCCGCAGCATCTCCGGGTGCGCTGTGCCACCTCCCGGCGGCACCGAGAGCTGCACGGGACAACCCCGCATCCATCCCCCCCCCCCCCCCCCCATACACACCGCCAGAACCGAACAGCAATGCAGATTGAAAGCACTTTGTTAGCCGAGAAACGACGAGCAAAACAGAGCCGGACCCACGTGTTTGAGAACAGGTGCCTCATGCTTCGCTTTCAAACCTTATCTTGTTTTAATTGCAATTAAAAATAAAAGTTAGTAATAGAGGGCACTGCTGCCCTGCTCTCCAAGAAAATCTTAGGTAAAATCTGCAAGCTCTGCAAGGATTGGGAAAAATAAAGCCTGAAAGCAAATATTTGGAGATCTGTAGGAGCAGTTGTCATACTGGACATCAGAAGGTACAGCCAGGAGGGGCACAGAGAGGGCCATCCAACAGCCTTGTTCCCCTGCTGCTCTGCAGTCACAGAAGAGCATAGAGACACATAACACAATGGAAAGCACAGCAATGACAGCAGAGTAATCAGGCCCCAGGCTGCAGCAAGTGAAGGCTTTCTCAAATACAACAGCTGTGAGCACAGAAATAAAGGAAATGATCTGCTTACCTTTGAAAGGCCTCAGGTACTCAAGGACCTCCAGATAAGGTGCCCTCACCTCCACTGCTAACCCTTAAATGAGGGCTGAGAAGGAGTGGATCCTGGCTGCTGCCCTTCTGGTCATTCAGGTTCATTGCACGCACCTGAGCTCCCCTGGGTTGGCCCTGTCTTCCCACCAGGTGCTCCATCACCGCTTCAGGCCATGACCTAACGTCTCTGCTACAAGATGGAGAAAGAAAAATTAAAAATAAAGAGCTTCCATTTGGGTCCTGTGCACCCCATTTGTGCACAGGGAGTCTGAGAGCAGAGGGTTCCTCCTGCAGCCCAAGCAAACCACATGAGACAATGGGAATGTTTCACTCTGGTATTTAAGCTCTCCTTGTTGACACAGAACAAACTCAGTGGGCCCCTCTTCACCTGCAAAGGGAACGATGGCTGAAAGCCATACCCCACAGAGCAGCTCTTGGTGCTGAGCCCCACAGCTGGTCTCTTTGGGGCAGGAGGTGCCCCGTGCTGCCCTGTGCTCTTAGGAGATCCCCCAGCTGCTGCCTCATTCAGAGGCCATTTTAATCCCTGGGTGAAAGATGAAACGCATTGTTGGTGCACTATTCCACTACAAACAGTGTCTGTTGCTATGGACAAGGAACACACGTGGGGCCTCTCAGAGGTACCAGGAGTGCCTTTATCCACTGCTCCTTCCAACAGTGGCTGCAACAGTCGTACTTTGCAACCAGTCCTTCTGCAGGCAATGAGCAGCAATTACTCCAAATCACAGTAGTGTCAAAATAAGGATGAATGCAGAGCTCACCACAAAAACATGGATAAATGCAACTCACCCACATGCCTATTTTCTCCCCAGAGCCAGCACCGCTAAGGGTCTCTTTATCTGCAGTGCTGGAAAATGGGCACTCGGATGTTGTGCTCTTTCCATCCCTGCCCCTAATTCTGCTGGAAGATGGGTTTAAATGGAAACTGATAGTAATTATGCTGAAATCTCTCTTTCACAAGAGGAACCATTTGCTAACGCCATTTGGAAGAACCCAGCTAGCAAGGGATCTCCGTGCATTCAGACCAAAGCCAAACCCTGTCCTTTCCTCCTTCAGAAGACATCTTAATGCCCTGTAAGGAAAAATTTCTTACAGTGGGGTTAGCAGCACCTTCTGGGCACTGGGATCTGTGGCAGCCACTTGTTGTGACTTCAGCTGCTCGCTGCCCAAACCCATTGGAAAAAACACAGCTCCGGGTCTGATGCCATGGCCTCTGTTGCCAGCCCAGTGCTGGGAGCCACGGGAAGAGAATGGCCCAATTCTGAGGGCTCATCCTGCAGTAAACAGGGAGGGTGAGGCTGCAGCAGGGTTTTCTGCCTGGGAAATGAGTCCTTACTGCCTTTAAACTCTCCACCTTTGCAGGTTCCAGGGTTTGTGGCTTGGCTCCTCTCGCTTGGTCCCAGCACAGTGGTTGCTGTCATAGCTCAGGGTCAGAGATGGAAAAACATCTCCCAGGGGCTGGCAGAATGCCGGCTGCTGCTCGGTTGTACTTGGAAACACCTGGAAAATTCAGCCAGTAAAACCAGTGCAACCCAGCACAGGGTGTGGAGCATCCAGCAGAACCCAGCCCTGCTCTGCTCTCAGTGCTCCAAGACCTCCCTGCAGACATTTGGCAGCAGATTGCTGCCCTGCTCATCCAACAAGGGTGGGGACAGGGCAGTCTGCAATACACAACTGCAGTTTCCATTTCTGCCTCCGAGAGGTGCAGCAGAAAGGGCACTGTTCCATTAGGATGGCACCTCTTCAATCACAGGCCACGAAGTTAGCAGGCTTGTTTTGTGCACTGCAGAGCAACCCGTGCTCCAGGTTCCAACTTTTTTCTCATGTAACACATTCATCTTTGTTAGACCCTCAGTGCTGAATACGTCAGCATCTCAGCTGCACGTCAGTGTTTCTGTTTGTCTTCTTCATTATTGTTCATGTTCGTCTAATGGGAGCATCAGTGGGAAAAGACTTCCACAATGCCCAAGCCCAAACCCCAGCCCACCTCACTGTACCCACTGCCACTTCCCCATGGTTCGGGGGCACCTCCAGGGATGGTGACCCCCTGCTCCCAGGGCAGCTGTGCCACTGCATCACCACTCAACTCAGAGAAAAAATTGTTCCTAATATCCAACCTGAACCTCCAATGCCTTTCCTCTTTCTCCTCTTGAGCGTGCAATATCACAGTTACAAGTTACAGATGCTGCCACTAACAACAGCCATGTTAAGCCACTAACATAGCCACTGAAACAGCCATTCACAGACACTGAAAAGCTTTTGAACATTTTATAAGAGCAGCTTTAAAAACAGGACGTGCAAACCCTTGCTCTTGGGATATGTTCCTCCCGGTGTTCAGATGTTCCACTTTGGTGTCCTCGTCAGGGCAATCAAAGCCCTACAAAACCTTATTTTTTTATTTTTTTATTTGAAACCAAAGCACAAACTTTAAGTTGAGCCCAGGAAAAATAAAAGAAATTGCTGTGCTGAGAGGAGAAAAAATGTGCACTTGGTGGGTAGCTTCAGCACAAACAACAGAAGGGCACTGGGTCTGTGGTTGGGAATGGCTGCCCTTGGCTGGCATGAGTAGGAATCAGCAGTTTGGGGGCAAGTAGGGGGAAAAAAAAGCACAGAAAGAATGTGGTGTCTGGTGCTGTTTGGCACACACTGCTCACCAATGTTTCTGCTACCCGACAGCCCAGGAAGGCAGTGCTTAAAGCATATGGTGAAACATAGAGATAGAAAGCTGAGTGTTGCCCACAGAATGGAATAAAATCAGTGCAGCTCAGCCTCTCTTATTGCTTGGGTAATAAAATCATTCACTATGCAAATATCTGATTGGGGGTGCATAGGGAGACACAAGTCGTTGAGCTGATTATACGGCTCTGCCCAGTGCTGGGCCCTTCTGTCCATAACCACAATTTATACAAACCAGAGCACCAAGCACTTCTCCAAACAAATAAAACAATTAAAAAACAAAAATGCAAAAGTTCACCCAGGGATGTGCCATGATGAGGGAAAAGCATGAGCCTGAATGCTAACGGGGGGAAAGCATCTCCCCAGGTGATAAGCAGAGAGAGTGGGAATGCAGTGGGCGCTGAGGAGAGGGCTGGGAGCCAAGTTCGTCTGCATTAATCTTACACTCATTAAAATCAGTTGTTCCCTTCTTAATTCAGCCAGGGCCGCCGAGCTTAAGAATTAAAAATTCATGAACCCACGTCCCTAAAGATGAATTAAAAAATAATAAATTCTCCAAAGCAGCACAGATTTTCAAAAGTCTCCTAAAAAAATGTCCCGGTGCTCCTCTGTGCTTGGAGCTTTCAGCTCGTGCTTCCGTGAGGGACGAGGACACAACCAACCCGGATTCTCACACACTGGTGTTACTCTGGAGCCTGGAGGCAGCCCCACAGATTCTATCCTTGAAGGCAGCCTCACAAATTCCATCACTTACGATGAGAACAGAGAGCAAGCAGTGCAGGAGGAGCACTCAGATCCTCTCGTTCCACCACAAAGTCCTTGAGAAGATGGACCTTCTTGCAGCTGCTTGCAGCTCTGTGCAAGCAAGCAGTAAAAGTAAATAATTGCTTCTTAATTCCATGCGCGTGAGCAACAAGCTAGACGTGGTTGTTAATGTGCTCTTAATTAAGGTCACCGCTGACAATGGCTGGAGAGCTGGAAACAAAGACAATAAACACCACTGATGTGAAGCAGATGGGAACTCGGAAAGGGTTTCCCAATATTTGGTGAACAATCTGGGATTTTTTGTTTCGACTGCACATCGGGGACCTCCAGCCCATGGGAGAACCCAACCGAGCATCACCTTCATCAGTCCAGAGTGGGAAGATCATGCTGTGCTCCCTCCATCTGAAGGGCACTGCATTCACTGTGTGGAACACCAAAGCAGGACAGTGCAAAGCAGCCCAGGAAACAGCATGAGCTCCTCCAGCTGAGTTGGTTTCCTGAAGGAGAAGCTGCATAAATAAGGACGGGCTGTGAGCGGGTGTCGTTTATTTATAGAAGGCATTCATTTCCTCCGTGATGGGGATAAATACCCATTAGCTTTCAAGGTGATGAATCATCTATTAATTAACCTACTGGGAAAAAAAAATAATCATCATCATCATGCAGATATTCATATTTTCAAAGGAAGGCTTTCCAGTTGGGAAAGAAAGGAAGGGAGTTACTCTGATTGACGTCATCTGAAATGCTGAGATAAGACCACCAGAGCAGGGCTGGCAGGGCTGGCTGTCCACATCCCCATCTCTGAGGAAGGACATCAGTCAGAAGCTGGCATTGGTTATTTGGCAAAAGGAGAGAATCTCCCATAGCTGAGGAGGTGAGATGTGGTGAATCATGAAGGATCCTAAACCTGGCCTTCAGGATCCACCTCCACTGGGCTCCATCCATCACCTCCCCCAGTCTCCAACAAGCCTAGGAAATAAATACATAAATGAAACAAGAAGATTGTGCGTGCACTCATCCTGTTCCTGTGCTCCCTGACCATTTTTAGCTTTGGTTTATCCCCAGCTCTTTCCCCACACACACCCACACTCCAAACTATCCAAAGAGCCTGAAAGATGCCTAAAACCCAACAACAACCCAGGGCTCCATCAGCTTCCAGGAATTCAAACCAGCTTAAGCAACCACAACTTTTTCGTAATGTGTTTGGTGTCTTTTTTTTTATGCATGGGTGTTGGGTTTTTTTCAGTCTTTTACAATCCATTTTAAACAACTGCTGGGAGTTTTCTTCCTTCCCACCCTCCCCAGCTACATTCAGCCTGTATCTCTCACCAGCCTCATGCAGCTCACGTTTCAGGGCAGAGCAAATGTGCACGCATGCACAGGGCAGGGATTAGGAGACAACGAGGCACCCAACACAAACCTGATTTCCAAAATTCCCCTTCTGCCTGCAAGCACGAGGAGCTGGGTGCAACCTGCTAAGTTCCCTGCAGGCAGGGAATGATTCCACCCTGCATTACATATTGCACGTGATGAGGCATCTGCCACTCGATGTGAAAGACACCATCAGAGCCCATCACACTGCCGGAAGGATTTGCATGCTATCACCAATGCTCTTCTAGCTAAGCCACATTCCCCCTCTGCATGCTGCTGCTCATCACTGTACCTCATGTGTCACAGCTGATTAAGACATCCCAGAATAGGCAGCCAGGCTGAACCCTTCACACTCACTGC